ATGGGATGGGATGAGGTGGGCCAGGCCGCCTCGGGAAGCAGAGGAGTGGCCGGAGAGCGGTGCAGGATGGAGGGTGGTGAGCAGCTCCTGTGAGTAACCGGCGCTGGGGAGAGTGGCAGGGTGGAGAGGGTGCAGGCCTGCGCCCCTCCGCGCCGTCGCTTTCCCCGGGCTCCTGGTGCGGTGAGGGGGGCACGCACAGGGGCCTGCTCAGGGGGCGCTGGTGTGGCCCTCAGAACGCTGCTCTGGTACTGGAGTCCCCCACCGGGGTCCTGTACTGGTGTGGCTCTGGGGATGGTGCTCTGGCCCCTGGGTCCTGTACTGGGGACACTGGTGAGGCACAGGTGTCACCCTGGGGATATGGTGCTCGCACCAGGGTCCCGCGCTGGGGTCACTGGTGAGACACTGTGAGGTCTGGTCCCGCACTGGTGAGGTACTGGGATGGATCAGCAGGGCCACTTGTTGTGGCAGTGAAGTCACTGGTCCTACACTGGGTGTTCTGGGGACTTTGTCCCCGTGGCCCCTGCCCCTCGCAGCAGGACAGTGCTGGCGTTGCCCAGGGTCCCCGTCCCTGGGCCAGGCTAGGCTCCAGCAGCCCCTTGGTGGTGACACTATTGGGGGGAGGTTGGGGACACGTGGTTGCCACCTTGGCGGGTGCCTGGGCCTCCGGGGGCTGCACGGCACAGATAAAGACCGGGGATGCTGGTGGCAGGGCTGCCCACCCCCTGCGCCCTGCTGGCCCCAAATCTCTCCAGGAGGGAGCAGCTGCTGGCCCTGATAACTTAATCTCACAGGGCCCTGGGCCCAGGCATCGCCTGTCCCTGGGGACAACTCCAGGGAGCAGGAAGAGGCTGTGGACCATGATGGGGGAGCATTTGTCACTTTTGTCACAGCTGGATGCAAGCCTTTTCACTGGCCAGGGAGTGGGGATGAGCCTCTGGCCCTGGCCCCCCTTGCCCCCAGCCACGGGGATCTGGCAGGGCATCGGGACCCCTCACAGGTGACAACTTGTATTTGCTCTTTTGTCCACAGCCCCAAGGGTTTCCCCAAGCTGAAGAACGACATGTTCCTGCGGGCAGCGCGTGGGGAGGAGACGGAACACACCCCGGTGTGGTGCATGCGGCAGGCAGGGCGCTACCTGCCCGGTGAGCAGGCAGGGGAGTGCGGCAGGTGGGGATGGAGAGGTGGGGCCCACTGCACACCCCATAACACTCATGCTGATCCCTTGCAGAGTTTCGGGAGACCAGGGCAGGGCAGGATTTCTTTGCCACTTGCCGGAGCCCCAAATTGTGCTGTGAGCTGACGCTGCAGGTGAGCCTGTGTGTCTCTCTGTCTGAGGATGGGGAGAAACCTTGGGTCTGGCCACCCCAGGTGGCCCCAGTAAGTTGTGCAGCCCTTGGGGACCCCACTGCCCCATGTGCTTGTCCAGGCTGTCCAATGGGGAGGGGCTCCCAGCCCCTCACTGATGCTGCCTCTTCCCCTCCGCAGCCACTCAGACGATTCCCCCTGGATGCTGCCATCATCTTCTCTGACATCTTGGTGGTGCCTCAGGTCAGTGTTGGGGAGCAGCAGCTGGGAACGGGGATGTGTTTGAGGCCTGCCCAGCCCCCCCCCCTTCCTGCTTCTTCCAATCTTCCCTGTCCCTAGGCACTGGGCATGGAGGTTGTCATGGTTCCTGGGAAAGGACCCACGTTCACAGAGCCCCTGAAGGAGGTGGAGGATCTGCTGAAACTACGACAGAAGGTGGACGTGACAGCAGAGCTGGGTTACGTTTTCCAGGCCATCACGTTGACACGACACAAGCTGGAGGGCAGGGTGCCCCTCATCGGCTTCTCTGGGGCACCTGTAAGTGATGTAGCTCCTCCATGTGAGCTTCCAGCTGGGCTTCTCTGCTTTTTCTTCTGGGGTGATACCAGCCATGACACACCCAGAGCTGTGGGTGCTATAGGGCTGTGTAGGTGGGGGACATTCAGAGCAGGAGCAGCTAGGCCCCAGGGTGCTCCACAGGTCCTACCTTTGGCACTGTGACCAGCCCCTTGCATCTTCTGTTTCCATCACCCTCCCCACTCCACTCCTCTCTTTCCTGCAGTGGACACTCATGTCCTACATGATTGAAGGTGGTGGCTCCACTACAATGGCCAAGGCCAAGAGCTGGCTCTACCGTCACCCTGAGGCAAGCCACCGACTGCTGCAGCTGCTGGCCGACGTCATCACTGACTACCTCGTGGGGCAGGTGGCTGCTGGAGCGCAGGTGTGTCCTGGGACATAGGGACAGGGCCAGGCAGGAACTGGGGACAGGGAGCAGAGAGGGTCCAGCTTCTGGGGGGAGGAGGAAGGACTAAGGTGCAGCTCTCCCAGCCCCATGTCCTCGTCAGGCGCTCCAGCTGTTTGAGTCCCACGCAGGGCACCTGGGCCCGGAGCAGTTTCAGGACTTCGCGCTGCCCTACATCCGAGACATCGCCCAGGCTGTCAAGAGCAGGCTGAAGGAGGAGGCGCTGCCCCTGGTGCCCATGGTGAGTCGGGGCTGCCTGATTGACCCTGGCATCAGGGGGGCTGCTGGACAGGGGTGCATCCCCTGGCACCTTTCTCCCCCAGTCTAGCCCGTGGAGAGGGGCCTGACCCATAGTGGAGTTACTGCCCATTTTCTCCCTCCCCAGATCGTCTTTGCGAAGGATGCGCACTACGCGCTGCGTGACCTGGCCCGTGCAGGTTATGAGGTGGTCGGTCTTGACTGGACCATCCGGCCCCAGGAAGCTCGGTAAGAGTCTGACAGAGCACTCACGTGCATGGGCAGCACCCCGGGCTGGGTACCCTGACCTTTCCCTCTCTCCTGAGCCACCCCAGTCCTGGAGATTTCTGCTCCAGCAGTGGGGACATTGGGGCCCCATGCTACGTGGAGCTCACAGAAACTAGGGGCTGTGCTGAGGGGTCCCATGTGCCCTGCGATGGGGACTGCAGGCACCTGGCTACCCCCAGCCTCTGCATCACACGCAACAACTTGTCTGTTTCCTCCCTGCTGCAGTGCACAGACAGGGAAAGACATCACCCTGCAAGGGAACCTGGATCCTTGTGCTCTCTACGCACCCAAGGTGAGCTGTGGCCAGTGCCAGCAACAGGGTCTAGTTCTAGCCTGTGTTAAAGGTCTCCTGCCTCAGTTTCCCTATCTGCAGTGCTGGCTCGTGTCCCAGCAGTCCTCTAGGCTGGAGCCCCCTGAGCTGGATTGGGCTCATACATCGTTTTCCACTGTGCCTACAGGAGAAGATCGGCGAGCTGGTGAAGAAGATGCTAGAAGGTTTTGGGACCCAACGCTACATCGCCAACCTGGGCCACGGCCTTTACCCTGACATGAGCCCTGAGCATGTGGGTGCCTTCGTGGAGGCTGTGCATGCTCATTCCCGCCACATCAACAAGCACAGCTGAGCCTGGGGGGCTTGGGGCCAGGACTCCAGTTTGGGCAGTCACCCTAAATAGTGTTGTCACAGGGCCTGCTTCAGGCTGGGCTGCAGCATTAAACCAGCACCTTCTCCACAGCAGCCGTGTGGCTCTGGCTGGGGGGATGGGGAACTGGATGGCCCTGGGGGAGATGGGCAGTGATGGCAGCCCAGCAGTGGGGCGTGTGAGGCCAGGGGCAGTTCCTGAGCCCCATCCCACAGGTCAGAATAGGGAAATGGGGGTGCTAGCACAGTTGGGGGGGGGGGGG